ACACACATAATGAACACACACACATAATGAACACACACACATAATGAACACACACACAATGAACACACACACATAATGAACACACACATACACAAAGGCTGTCAAAAGGGCTCAGAGGGTCAAAGCACTTGCCACCAAGCCTGACAACCTGAGTTCAATCGCCAGGTCTCACATGATTGAAAGAAAGAACTAATTCTCATAAGTTGTACACACACACACACACACACACACACACACACACACACAAATAAATAAATAATAACATTTTAAGAATAAAATACAAACCCTCAATCATACCCCTAAAGGTAATCATGTGGTTTCCTTTCACAGCCTCCAGTGAACTGTAAACTAGGAGACATCTTGATAAAAACCCACTCTTCAGGACTAACGTGTTTATGAGTGCTTTCAAATTTCACTTCCTTTAGTATCTCCTCACTGCTCAGAGGTGACAAAATACTGGATCGCCAACTGGCTTAGATTGATGGGAATTTTCTTTTTGAAAAAGGCCAGCGTAGAGTTGACTATCCTGTCCATCCATCTATAACCAGATAATCTGATGGAGAGTTGACTGTCTAAATGGTTTCCATACATCTCCATAGTTCTCCAGTCACCTGACTAGCAGGCTAGACGAGGACAGTTGGCCATCCGAGCCATAGTTGTAAAAATTCAAAAACCCTGGCCTGGCCGGTAAAAGTGGACATGAAGAAACTACGTTAAGCTCTTCATCCTTGGTGTCGACACACAGACACAAGGTATCTTGGGTTTTTCTGTGCTCCACCTTCAGAGCAGTCGTTTATGTCTGATATGGACTGCTCAAGCTTCCTGGGACATCGTGCTGTGAGAGAATGTGAATTTGTGGAGAACTTTCCAGACAATGCCCCTTAACTATGACTCCACGCAGTTAACAAATGCTTACGATAAGCCTCCCCACTTTCTTGTCTTTCAAGTTGAAACGATGTCTGTGGAATTTCAAGTCTCCCTTTCCGTTTCACTGTGTCCCCAAGAGAAGAAGAGGTTCTTTTGAGTTGACGTTATCCAGTCTGCCATGTATGTGCCCTTTCCAGTGTGATTTCAGTGTTTACATTTTTGAGCTGAGACCTTGATTGGCTAACTTCGTCAAAATCCCACTGCCACCGCTGAAGGACCAAGTGTTGGGACGCACAGTGTCACACAGCGTTGCAAGTAACGCAAGCGGAAGTGACGCACATCCGTCTGTGTCATTCTATGGCTGTACTGTCGTCTGCGCCCGCCCCCGTTATTTATTATTGTTGATAGCTTACTTTTTCTTACATTCTGTTGTAAATAAAGTACAAAGCAATCTTCTTCCCAAGTGTTGCTTCCTCTTTCTCAACCGGTCTCAAGGGAGTGCTAGCCAACGTTAACATGAGGGTCAGTGGGGAAGGAAGGAGCCAATTACTGTACCCAGCGGAATGGCCTCGTGCACAAGGATGCCTCCCCTACTAATGGTCATGTGGAACTTTATATGCAAGACCCTTGGGAGGAAAAGTCCCAGAGTCCCTAATTTTCCAGCCTAAAAATAACAAAGGAAAAGCTGGGTGGGGGTGGCACATGCTTTTATTCCCAGCACTGGGGAGGCAGAGGCAAGCAGATTTCTGTGAGTTCGAGGCCAGCCTGGTATACAGACTCCCAGGACAGCCAGGGTTACACAGAAAAACCCTGTCTTGAAAAACAAAAACAAAAGCGAAGAAAATCTATAACCCCATAGGATGAATGCATAAACTCTCTTATCCACTTAGCAGGTACTTGAATATTCATGGAGTTTGAGATCACATAGCCCACAGGAATCCTAGGGAGTGCCAACCAGATCCACTCAATGCCAAGTTAGGTGTGTGTGTGTGTGTGTGTGTTGGGAATAGAATCCAGCACCATTGGGGATGCAAGGTAAATAGGTAAATACTCTACTTAGCTGGACAGACCAACTAGGTCTTTTTGTTGTTTTGTTTTTTTTTGTTTTTTTGTTTTTTTGTTTTTGTTTTTTCGAGACAGGGTTTCTCTTCGTAGTTTTGCACCTTTCCTGGAGCTCACTTGGTAGCCCAGGCTGGCCTTGAACTCACAGCGATCCGCCTGGCTCTGCCTCCCGAGTGCTGGGATTAAAGGCGTGTGCCACCACCGCCCGGCTGTTGTTTTGTTTTTTGAGAGAGGCTCTCTCTATTATTGTAGCCCTGGCTGTCGTGAAACTTACTCTGTAGACCAGACTGGCCTCGAACTCACAAAGATCCACCTGCCTCTACCTCCTGAGTGCTGGAATTAAAAGGGTGTGCCACTGCCCCAGCTCATCTTTTTTTTTAAAAAAAATGACAAAGTCTCATGTATCTCCTTGTACTTACAATATGGCTGAAGAAGACCTTGAAATTCCAGTCTTCCTGCCTCAACCTTCCAAGTTCTGGGGATCCAGCCCCAGTTGGGTTACTTTTTTTCTTTAAGGATTTATTTTATTGATGTGTGTTTGTGTGTCTTCAAGAGTGCATCAGATCCCTCAGAACTGGAGTTACAGGCATGACTGCTAGGATCCGAACTTGGGTTCTCATGTTCTAGCAGCAAGCGTTCCTAACCACTGAGCCGTCTCTCCAGCCCCACAGCTGGGTCACTTTTGGGAAAGCCAAAGTTGTCCCGCCATGGTTTCTCGATCTCAGGCAGCCACTGATGTTTACAAGAGGGTCCTCTGGGGCTGGTGAGTGTGGGGACAGAGATGCTTCACTCTCCCTGGTTCATTAATCTTTTTGGAGTTCACGCAGAAACACACCCCTTACTCTGTCTTCCAGTTAATCCTGAAAGAAACAATGTCACAGTCTTGGGCTGGCTGGCTGGCTCAGTGAGTCCGAGTACTTGCTGCCAAGTCTAATGACTGGAGTTTAATCCCCGCTAAGACCCACACGGCAGAAGGAGAAAATCAACTAAAGTTGTCCTCTGACCTCAACACAGGGGACACACACACACACACACACACACACACACACACACACACACACACAATAAATAAATAAGTGCAATTTAAAAGAAGAAAGACAATGTCACAGTCCGATCTCCGAACGGAGCAGGCACACTGCTTAGGCTGCAGTTCTGAGTTGTGTAATACCAACTCAATTAACTACAACATGTTTCCTTTTGTAGCTCCAACTTCACCATTACACCCCCATCCCGTCTTTTAATTCCGTATTCCAAACACACAAACGTCCCACACACTGCTGCGGGCTAGCTGTCAGCCTGCGTTCTTGAGCAGCGGCTGCCTCGTGCGGCTCAACTGTAATGGGTTGTTAAATATTTGCACACCTACTTCTCAATGTATAGTGCTTGTGACACAGCCCGCCCCAAGTTCCTAAGCAGAGCTCGTCATCCAAAGTGTCTTCCCACTGAAGCCCAACCTTAGACTCCTGAACACCCACATATTTCTGTAAGAGTTCCTCAACCACCATTACAGTCATTACCTTCCTGGAGACATTTCTGCCTCTGACCTCCAACTGTACCTTGGTCTCAAAGTTCAGGACACATCTTGTCTGAAATAGCCATGCGTGACACCTGTCAGGGTCAGCTGGAGGCTTCGATGGCTTAGCAAGGACACCTTGGGTGTTCGTCTGTACTGGGGTGTGTGGTAGGGCCAGCAAGCCCTGTTTTCAAGGGCACGGATTGACTTTTTCTGCCTAACTTGTCTCCACATGAATTCTCTCTTCTGTCCTGTGCAACTTAATAGATTACCTCAGTCAAATCCAAAGGTTTAAGTACTTTCCTCTTCCTGGGGAAGGTGGTGTTCTAGAGTGCTGTCTGCTGTTGTCATAAACAGCACACGGACTGCCTTAGTCAGGGTTTCTATCCCTGTGATGAAACATGACAACCAAAACACAAGGTGAGGAGGAAAGGGTTTTTGTGGCTTACACTTCAGCTTTGCTGTTCAGCACTGAAGGAAGTCAGGACAGGAACTCAAACAGGGCGGGATCCTGGGGGCAGGAGCTGATGCAGAGGCCATGGAGGGGTGCTGCTTCCTGGCTTGCTCTGTCTGCTTTCTTCTAGAACCCAGGACCACCAGCCCCGAGGTGTCCCCACCCACAGTGGGCTGGGCCCTCCCCCATTGATCACTAATGAAGAAAATGTCTTCCGGGTTTACCTACAGTTCAGTCTTACATTTTCTGAATTGAAGTTCCCTCCTCTCGAATGACTGCAGCTTGTGTTAAGTTGCCAAAAAAACTATCCAGCACACTGACCAAAGCAACCTGAGGAGGAGAGGGTTTATTTCAGCTAACATATCATAGTTCATCATCAAGGGAAGCTGGGGGGGGAGGGGGGACAGAGACTAGATATTGGCTTGCTCTCCTTGATTTGTTTATCTCTCTCTCTCTCTCTCTCCCTCCCTCCCTCCCCTCTCCTTTTCTCCCTTTCTCTTCCCCTTCTCTCTCCTCTCTTTCTCTCTCTCCCCTCTCTCCTTTCCCTTCTCTCTCACCCTCCCTCAACACACACACTCTTTATTATTAATTGTGTGTGGAAATATGCACATGTGCGTGCAATACCCCTGAAGGCCAAAAGAGGCTGTGAGCTGCACGTGTCGGTACTGCGAACTGCATTCAGGACCTCTGGGAGAGCAGCCAATGCTCTTAACTGCTGAGCCATCTCTCCAGCCCCTCAGCTACCTTTCTCATACAGCTCAGACCCTTCTGCCCACGGATGGCCTGCCCAAAGTAGGATAGCCTTCCTACATCAATAAGCAAGCAAGAAAATGCCCCACAGACACGTCCATGGGCCAATCTGAAAAAGGCAGTTCTTCAGTTGAGATCCCCTCTTCCCAGATATGTTGGAGTTTGTGGTCAAGCTGATAAATAATAAACTAACCACAGATAGGAACAGGTCAGTACTTTGCCTCAATGTTCTTGTTCTGTTCCCAGCATGTAAGAAAAAGAAAAAAGACAAAAAGATAAAGAAAGGAAGAGGAGGA